TAGGTTAGGAAGAAGTCTTTTAGATTTCCGGCCAAGATGGCCACAGTATGTGGAAATACTGTGCCTCCTCGCACAACCAAATTAAGGACAACAAAGATTTAGAAACAAAAACACAACCAGAACAGACAGAAAATTGTATGCAAGTCTGACAACCATTCATCCAGACTGGTAAGAGGGGTAGAGTTGGCGTCCGGTGGAGAGGGGTTGCAGCAGGAAAAGGTGGTGGCTGGCAGACCCGGGGGACTGGATGGCCCAGGGCTAGCAGACCCCTGGCACAGGGAGGAAACGAGCAGACCCATTGAGGCGTGCAAGGCTGTTGGCTGACCGCAGACGCACATTCACACGCAGATAAACCAAGCAAAAACGTGCAGTGAGACAGACTGCGCAACCCGGGGCCCCAGTGATGGGAAATGTAGCCTAAAAGCACCAATTGAAAACACTTGTGGGGGCTGAGGTGCCGGGAGAGACTCCCAGGAGAGTTTGTTGGAGAGACCCACAGGGTCCTAGAACATACACAAGCCCACCCACCCAGGAACCAGCACCAGAAGGGCCAGTAATGATGGAAAGGAAACTGGGACTCAAATCGAGGGAGTGGACCAGAAGGAAGAAAGAAACAACCAAACAGAAAAGAATGAAGAAAAAAAGATGAGGAGAGGCTTAGGAACCTCTGGGACATCTTTAAATGTCCCAACATTCGAATTGTAGGGGTACCAGAAGGGGAAGAGGAAGAACAAGAAGTGGAGAACTTATGTGAACAAATAATAAAGTAGAACTTCCCCAATCTGGCAAAGGAAATAGACTTCCAGGAAGTCCAGGAAACTCAGAGAGTACCAAAGGAGGTACACCCAAGAAGGAACACATCATAATTATATTAGCCAAGATTAAAATGGAGGAGAGAATCCTAGAAGCAGCAAGAGATAAGGGGACAGTCACCTACAAAGCAGTTCCATCAGACTGTCAGTTGATTTCTCAAAAATGACCTTACAGGCAAGAAGGAGCTGGAAAGAAGTATTCCAAGTCATGAAAGGCAAGAACCTACATCCAAAATTGCTCTATCCAGCGAAGCTTTCATTTAGAATGGAAGGGCAGATAAAGAAAGCGCTTCTCAGATAAGGTCAAGTCCAAGGATTTCATCATCACCAAGTCCTTATTATATGAAATGTTAAAGGGACTTATCTAAGAAAAAGAAGATAAAAATATGAACAGTGAAAGGACAGCAAACTCACAGTTATTAACAACCACACCTAAAACAAAATCAAACTAAGCAGACAGCTAGAACAGGAGCAGAGCCACGGATATGGAGATCACATGGAGGGTTAACAACCGGGGACTGGCGGGGGGCGGGGAGAAGGTACAGAGAATAAGTAGCATAGATGATGGGGAAAAATAGACAGGGGGAGGGCAAGATAGTGTGGGAAATGTAGAAGCTAAAGAACTTATGACACATGGACGTGAACTAAAGAGGGGAAATGTGGGTGGGAGGGGCTGTGCAGGGTGGAGGGGAATGAAGGGGGGAAATGGGATAACTGTAAATGGCATAATCAATAAGATATATTATTTAAAAATTACCTGGTTTTTTTTTTACCTGTCTCTCGCATTGGAGGGAGGGACAATCACCTCTACTGCTTCCACAGCCTGCGCAGGATTTGGGGTGTTAAACAGACTCAGCGTACATTTTTATTCTAATTGCCCAGTAGGAAGATTTGTTAAGACTCTCAAAGTTTTAAAGGCCATGAATGAGTTGTGGAAACAAAGAAAGTCTTACACATGTCACATCCCCAAAAGCATTCAAGTGAGAGAAAGAAAAACCCAGTAACAAGAGATGAGATGTGTCCTGAGTGGAATGAGGTTGTCAAAACTGGTGTAATAAATGCTTCAGAGAGAGGACTGTGAGTTATAGAACAAGTACAGAAATGTGCTATGGACATGGTTACCATTTGCCCTCAGGTGGCCTCACCAATGACCTGGGCTAGATTATCTGAGGATAGATTTACCCCACTCAGACAGAAATAAAGAAATCTAAAGAGAAAGTGTGTGGTCGTCTCATGGACCTGTCTACTTCATGCCCTGAAAGTGGTTTTCTCGTCAACTGAGACATTGGCTAGTTGCCCCAGGAATGGATTCACCCCACTGAGGCAGGAGGGTCAATTCCAGAATGGCACAGAGAGGAACACAAACAGAAAGCGTGTCTGCCCCGTGGGCATGTATATCTACTACTCATCTTAAACTCAACCCAGACCAACAAAGGCCAATCTCATGTGGCAGAAGGTAACCTGCAGGTCCTATATCCCATCTGGGTCTTTCTTGATATTTGTTTTGCAACCCCAGAAAATATTTGTTTTCCTCCATAACATTTCTTAATGTATTTTCAGGATATGGTTTGTATTTTCTAATAATAAAAAGTTTATCTGGGAGTACAGTTCTTTAGCAAATATACATTTGCTATCAATATTCCTACAAAGACTGTCATCCATGAAGGTGCTGCAAGTGGACATCTGACTCTGAAAAAAGGTTTTGGATCCAAAGATCTCATCTTTTCGCCAAGAAATAATAATCATTTCACCTGTATTTCCATATGACATTTCTTAATGAATTTTCTAGGCAAGGTCTAGTCCAAAAATCTATTCCAAATTCCAAAGAGTATGACATGTGCTTGGAAGCAAGGATGATGTACCAAATATATATTCGGTGCCAGGATGGCTGCAGCATTGGCTTCAGTGTGGTTTGGGAATGTGGGCATCTGAAACTGAGAGAAGTTTCAGGATTTCACCCCCTTGCTGGTAAATGATGAGAGTCACACTGGTTAATGCAGTGACGGTGTCTCCATGGGACTGGAGATTTTTTCTGGCATAAAAGTTAGGGTGAGAACACTGCAGAAAGGTATGAATGGTGATTAGTAGAGTTATAAAATCAGCATTTTTCTTTTTTTTAGTTTTTCACTTTTTGGTAGTTTTTATTTTTCCTTTTCGATGAATTTATGCCAAATCTCTAAGTATTTTTTGTTTATCTTCTTCAATTTTTTTTCAAATTTTATTCACTTTTTTTGCATTATCATTTAACTCCCTTATACCCATCTCACCCTAAATGAGCATTTTTTAAATAGCAAGAAAACAACAGGCTCTGAAGCCTGAGAACAGGTAAGTCTCAGTGGGTGGTCATTATTGGACAGTGAATTCTAAGAGGTAGGAGTATTTACTTCAACTATAGCTATGCTTGAAACTAGGCTAGCATGAAAGTCTTGTTTTTACAAAGTGTGAGTCCTTTTTATTCATTAGAATTTGATGGGGAAAAGTGAGGTGAGAATGATATGGTAAGGTGTGAGGAGACAAACTTGGAATTGTGGAAAATAGCCATGACATTATGTTTCATTGCTTTCATAATCATTTACTAATTATCTCACTGCTTCAGAGGCTGAACTAGGAATGTGTTATACAGTAGTGATTAAAGAAATGTGATCACAACCAGGGTTGTCCCAAGGTTTTATTGAAGGAGCAGCCAACAATTCAAAAAGTAAATATTCCATGAAATAATACATTGTTAGCTGATCTGTTATGTGGAAACATAAATTGACCAGCACTCTGGGGTGAGAAGCCTTGTGGATCCTGAGGAATTTAAGAACACACATTTAAAGGAGGGGAAAAGGGATTCAACTTAATGGGAAAGATGTTTCATGTACAAGAAAACACTGTAGACAGAGTCTTCCCATGCCAGTAGTTCATCACCACTGTCAGGCCTCTCCTGCGATTTTTGTGCCATTTCCAGGGTGCTGGGGATTATGTTCATGTACAAGTAACTTTTATAATTTCTGGTAAGTTTTAGATTTTTCTCAACTCTGGTACATTACTTAGTTCAATTATTTCAAATTGTACTTTCTAGTTCAGTGTCATGAATGCTCTGAAATTTTCTTTTTTTTTAAAGAGATTTTATTTATTTATTTTTAGAGAGAGGCAAAGGGAGGTAGAAAAAGAGGGAGAGAAACGTGAACACATGGTTGCTTCTTGCACATTCCCTACTGGGGACCTGGCTCTCAATCCAGGCATGTGCCCTGACTAGGAATGGAACCAGCAACCCTTTTGTTCACAGGCTGGCACTCAGCTGGTGAGCCGCACTAGCTAGAGATGCTGAAATTTTCAATAGGAAATGTTTATTACCTAATTATAATGAAATTTAATGTCTATTGCACTTACGCACACCCATAATTACTTGTTACTTATAATGGTTCCTGTGATTTTTGAAGTGTCTGAGCTATACATGGGTCAACTCTCATTATAAATATGTATTTTTTTACCCTAAGTATTATGTATACATATGTTTGTAATCTGAAACATTGAGAATGCCTGAGATATCATATCACCTCAAGTCTTAAATATGTCAGTAAAGAACAAATTCTCTTCCACTATGATAAATACAAATGCATTTACACATTAACAAAGACACCAATCACTGTAACAATTCAGCTCTCTCACTTAAATTATCTTAACTGATAAATTGATGTTCAAGTTATAAATGAACAATAGAATTCCATTTACTGTTTATATTATGTATTGTCTTTTTTCTTTCAAAGTCTTGTCCTACAGTCTTGTGTTATACTTGTTACATACATATATGATGGTGTAAGTAGGTCATTTGTGTAAATATTTTCAGGACTCTACAATGCAGGCATATCTTTTTTATTATGAGTTTCTTTGTTGGGAATCACAGATAATTTGTTTTAATTAAGATGGGCTGAAGCCCTTTATCAGGAAAAGATGATGACTTTCTTTAGCCATATTGGAGAAGCGTTCTTTGTTGGGACCTCGTATTTCCCAATGCCTTTAGCCATGGGTCCTGGTCATTTCTATTGTAGTGATGTGGGTCCAGCCCTCCCTACTCCCGGCCTTGGAGTCTCAGGAAAAGGTGTGGGGAATACCACCACGCCTACCCAATGGGGCGGGAGGCGGGCGGGGGGCACATTTCCGTTGGGGCACACTTGCGGGGACGGGACTTCCGGCGTCCTCCCCGTGGCGGGCAAATTGCTTCAGCCAGAATCCCCTCAATTACGTGCTCAGAAGGTCCAGTTCGCTAGGTGGTGGCAGACATGCCCAGGCGGAGAAGGCTCCAGAGTCGCGGTCCTCAAAGATCATCCGAGAGGAAGAAGGTGGACGACGCTGCCCGGGGGGCCCGCGCCAGGCCCGAGACAACGGTCGCCATGGCGGGGACGGCCTCCTCTCCCGCCACTAAGTCCCGGCCTAGAGCTCAGAGTGCGCTGGCGGCCTCCCTGAGACGCCCGGCTGAGGTAAGTGCGCGTCCCCTCACACCCCCACCCACCTCAAGCGCCTCACCACGGCGAACCCTGCATCCCGTGTGCAGACGCCCTGCAGCCCAAGCTTGGCTGGTGGCTCGGAGACGAAGGCTCATGGGAGAGAGGAGTGTTGTGGTTTCTGAGGACACAGCAAGTACAGTGCAGAGTGGACAGGGCTTATTCGTATCTGAGACTCCCGCGCCGATCTCGGTGAGGATTATTGAAGCAAAGAGCAAAGAGGAGGCAGGGTGGACTTCAGAGCCAATAATTTGGGACTTTATTGGGCTGTGAGATCCAACAGAAAACTGGGGTTGTGCAGGATCCTGCTGGAACATTTCAAGGACTCTGGCTGCCGTAAGCCTAGTTCATGGGCGAGTCTGTTGCAGAAAACCAGGCGCCTGAATGACATAGCGAAGCAGAGAGTAACGAAGGGAGCTTTAGTATGCATGCGGACCCACAGGAGTAGCCTCCCAAAGTCTGGGCAACAAACTTCTATTTCGTTTCCTTTTTACACAGCAGGACAGATGGGGTGAGCGACATGTGGGCTAACAGTTTTCACCTCGTTCAGCAGCCCTTTTTGCAGCGTTTCCAGCCCATTTTCAGGGTTTCCTGCCCAAGGCTGCTGGAGCAGGTTGATATCTGCAGTTTCCGCGCGCCAAGCACGCTTACAGAACCAAAAGTAGAGGTTATTGCCGCAGCTTTAAGAAAATGGCATTTGGCTTTTTCCCTTACAAGTCCAGAGAGATGCCCGTGCTTTGTGCAGCAGGAAGGTGGCAGAACTGAGGGAGTGGACTTGGGGTGTGAAGATGTGAAGGAGGCAGACATTCCACAGTCGTGTGCACAACTAGAGGGAGTGTGAGCTGGAGATCCTGGGCCCTGGTGGGAGGACATGGGGGTGAATCCTAAGCTCGTGTGTGGCTGTGCCTTGGGCGCATGATCTGGGAGACTGTGGCAGGAAGGACGGGAGCCTGTAGTCATGGTCCAGGGCTTCCATGACCTCTGTATGGGGTTCAATACATTGCTGTTGCTGACCATGTTAACATTAATTACTGGGACTCTGAAGAGAGAGCAGCCAGCATTGGCACTAGGGCTTGAGGTCTACACTGAACTGGGGGAGCCCTGGAGGAAATATAGGGAGGGAAAGATTTGTAAGAAGTAATATTGGGCCGGGTGGGGTGGGGTGGGCGTGAATCTCAGGTAGACAGCTCTTCATTCATTCGTCTCCATTGCTACAGGTTGGTGTGACCTTTGCAGACATTGCCCTGTACTTCTCAAGGAAAGAATGGCGTCTCCTTGATGAAGCTCAGAGAAGTCTGTACCTGGATGTGATGCTGGAGAACTTTGAACTTATATCTTCACTGGGTAATGCCTTCACTCTGCCAGTGGTGTAGACCAGGCTTTGCATTTCCTTATGCACCTGTCCTCTAGATGGCACTCTGTCATCATAAGTGGACTGTATGCACTGCTTCCTCTTACAGTTTTCTGAGTAGTTGCTTTCCTTCGTAGGGCTGGTTTATTTGCAATCACTCTTTTCTCCCCCTGCAATACCAGTACCCATTGTAGTGAACTCACAGGGAAGGATTTGTGGTTTGTATTGTTGTGTGAAGACGAATAAATACCACCTAGAGGTATTTATTACAAATAAATTTTGTCACCAATAAATAAGATTTGTGACAAAAAGTATTCTTTTTATTCCTGTTGGTCATCTGTATATACATATTTTGGAAAACTCTACAATTTTGGCTAATGAGTCTGTTGAATCCCTTGTGTATTTTATATATTAATTTCTTTTCCCTGACGGGTACACAGCTTTTCTCATTTGTTTAATTTTGCTTTGTGGATACTGCTGGTTTTTGTTTCTTGTTTTAGAATTTCAATATGGCAGCGCTACATTCAGCAAGTGCAGTGTTGCCAATTTTTCAGTAGATGAAATGCTGGGTACCAGTGGTTATGGATAAATTATTTTTATTTAAGTCATGTAGAGAGTTTTCTTTTTTCTTTTTTTTGGATTAAAGTGTTATTTTGTGAATAGTCTTCATAAATTTATGTGACTTTTCTGACTTGAGGCCACAGTACCTCCAAGCATATTTGTATTTGATGTCCAAGTCTGTTATCCCATCCTGGGGTTAACCTTTTTTTGTTTTTGTTATTATTATTTTTATGATATATTGACTTCTATTTTTAGATAGAGGAGACAGAGGGAGAAAAACAGTGATGTGAGGGAGAAACATTGCTCCTTCCACTCTCTCTCCTGCTCCCATCAGGGACTGAACCCTCACGCCACTGCTGTGCCCTGCCAGGGAGAACGACGGGCTACCTTTAGCTTTGAGGGACAATGACCTTAAAGGGGACACACTGGTCTGATCCACACTGGTCAGGGCTGCCTTTTCATTTCATTATGTTATATGCTGACCTGTGAAGAAGTTTTTTTCATTTGTGGTAGTCCAGCCTGTTTATATTAGCTTTTTTTGCACGGTGGAGGTGGTGGTCACATTCAGAAGATTATTTCAAAAACAAATCTTCAGCCCTAACTGTTGGGACCGAGTCCTGCAAACTGGAAGGTTACCTGTTGGCTTCCAGGTTAGGGCACATGCCTGGGTTGCAGTCCAAGGTCCCAGTTGGTTGTATGTGGGCAGCAACTGATTGATTTTTCTTTCTCACATTGGTGTTTCTCTCCCTCTCTTTCTCTCTCTCTTCCCTTCTTTTGAGAAGTAAGTAAAGACCTTTTAAAAAATAATTATATGATTTTATAAAAAGCAAATGTCTAAAACTTGTCTAGGTTGTCTGAAGCAGTTTTAAATTTCACTACTGACATTGAATTTTTCATGACGTTTGAGCTCATTTTTATCAGTGGTGTCCACAGTTTTTTTGTTTTACATGTGAATGTCCATGTTTTCTAACACTATTTCCTAAGCAAACTATTTTTTCTTTCTCATATGTCTTTTTTTTTGGTCAAAAATTAGTTGAACGTCAGTGCCTGTGCTTATTTCTGTGTTTTTCTTGTGTTCTAGTAGTCTGTATTCATTTTAATGACATACAGTTTGGTTGCTGTGGTTTTGTTGTAGATTGAAGTCAGAAAGTGTGATACCATCAAAATTTGCTTTTTTCCTGTCAGGTGGCCCTCACCATGGAGCTGGTCCTCAACCCAGGCATGTGCCCTGACTAGGAATCTAATTGACATCTTTTCTACTCACAGGCTGTCTTACTCAGTCCACTCAGCCACACCAATCAGTGCTGTTTTATTGTTTACATTTTTCTGTGTATCTGATATTCTCCTATTGTTCTCATGCTGGTTTCTTTTTTAAGTTGGTTCCCTTTGCATTCTCTGGTGGCTCATGGATATTTTTTAATATAATTTATTGATTATGCCATTACAGTTGTCCCATTTCCCCCCCTTCATTCCCCTCCACCCTGCACACCCCCATCATCCCCCCCTTTAGTTTATGTCCATGTGTCACAAATTCTTTAGATTCTATATTTCCCATACTGTTCTTGTCCTCCCCCTGTCTATTTACTACCTACCGTCTATGCTACTTATTCTTTGTACCTTCTCCCCCCTTCTCCTCCTCCAACTCCCCTGTTGTGACCCCTCCATGTGACCTCCATTTCTATGGTTCTGCTCCTGATCTAGCTGTCCTCTTAGTTTGCTTTTTATTTAGGTGTGGTTGTTATAACTGTGAGTTTGCTGTCCTTTCACTGTTCATCTTTTCTATCTTCTTTTTTTTTTAGCTAAGTCCCTTTAACATTTCATATAATAAGGGCTTGGTGATGATGAACTCCTTGAACTTGACCTTATCTGAGAAGCACTTTATCTGTCCTTCCATCCTAAATGAAAGCTTTGTTGGATAGAACAATCTTGCATGTAGGTCCTTGCATTTCATGACTTGAAATACTTCTTTCCAGCTCCTTCTTGTCTGTAAGGCCACTTTTGAGAAATTGGCTGACAGTCTGATGGGAACTCCTTTGTAGGTGACTCTCCCCTTATCTCTTGCAGCTTCTAGGATTCTCTCCTTCATTTTAATCTTGGCTAATGTAATTATAATGTGCCTTGGTGTGTTTTTTTCCTGAGGTCCAACTTCTTTGGGACTCTCTGAGCTTCCTGGATTTCCTGGAAGTCTATTACCTTTGCCAGATTGGGGAAGTTCTTCTTTATTATTTGTTCAAATAAGTTTTCCACTTGTTGCTGTTCCTCTTTTCCTTCTGGTACCCCTATAATTCAGATGTTGGAACATTTAAAGATGTCCTGGAGGTTCCTAAACCTCACCTCATTTTTTTGAATTCTTGTTTCTTCCTTCTTTTCTGTTTGGTCATTTTTTTTTTCTTTCTTCTGGTCCACTTGATTGAATTGAGTCCTAGTTTCCTTTCCATCACTATCGGTTCCCTGTGCATTTCCTTTCATTTCACTTAGTTTAGCCTTCATTTGTCCATCTAATCTGTGACTAAAATCAACCAGTTCTGTGAGTGTCCTGATCACCAGTGTTTTGAACTGTGCATTTGATAGGTTGGCTATCTCTTGGTCGCTTAGAAGTATTGGCTCTGGGGCTTTGAGTTGTTCTTCTTGAGCCATAATTTTTGGTCTGTTTGCCCCTGTTATGTATGAGGGGTGGAGACTTAGATGTTCACCAGGGTGGGGCAACCTGGTAGCTGGGTTGTGATGCTGTATGTGGGAGTGGAGTCAGAGAGGGGCAATGGCGTTTGTTCTGCTCTCTGATTTCAGTCCTGTCTGCTGCTTTGCGCAAGCAAATTGGGCCCTTCTGGTGCTGTTTCCCGGGTGTGTGGGCTTGTGCACCCTCCAGGACCCTGGGGGTCTCTCCAACAAACTCTCTGTGAGCCTGGGAGCCTCTCCTGGCACCTCGACCCCCAAAAGTTTTTCCAATTGGCGCTTTTAGGCTTTAATTCCTGTCTCTGGGGCCCTGGTTTGCCCGGTCTGTCTCACTGCTCGCTTCTTTGCCTGGTTTATCTGCGTGTGAATGTGTGACCGTTGTCAGCCAGCTGCCTTGCGCCCTCACTGGGTCTGCCTGTTGCCTCCCCACGCCTGGGATCTGCCAACTGCCACCTGCACCCCTGGGTCGGTCTGGCCACTTTTTCCTGTGCCACCCCTCTCCACCAGCCACTGACTCCTCCCCTCTTACTGGTCTGGCTGAATGGTTTGTTATTGTCGAACTTCCGTACAGTTCAATTTTCTGTCTGTTTTGGTTGCATTTTTGTTACTAAATCTTTGTTGTCTTTAAACTTGGTTGTGTGAGGAGGCACAGTGTTTCCACCTACGCCTCCATAGAGGGCTCCACTGGCAGCAGAAAGTGGTAGAGTCTCAAAACCACATGGGTCCCCATCTTCAGAGTTCTCAGAAGAGGTAAGTCAGAGCCACCTCTTAAATCATTGGTAGGTGTGGCTCTTCATCTCTTTCTCTAGCTTTTCTGAGCAGGACCTCCTCCAGCTCATGGATATTTTTGAAAGTAAAATTTTGGATTCCTTATCAGACTGTACATTGAAATCCATGTGTTTGTTATCGATTATTGGGAAATTATTACGTTTTGTTGGTAGTTTCCCTGTTTTTAGTATTTCTTTTAATCCTCTATTCATGTCTGTGCATTTGATGAAGCAATAACTCCTTTCAGTTACATGGACTAATTTCTGGCTGGAGAGATAGATTCATCTTCATGTGGATTGCAGGGTGGCTGAGTTGGTGTTGTGTCTCAGTCTTAGACAAGTCCCACCAACCTAGTGTCTGTGGTGCTACATGAACTGAGGGTAGAATAACAAAAAAATGTGCAGGTCAGCCATTGCTTTGTCAGCGTTTCTTTTCAATGACATTCAAGGGTTTTGAAGTCTTTGGTGGCACTGAATTTTTGGTTTTTCATGGACTAGGTTGTGGACAAAGGGATGTGTTTTGGGTTTCATGCCGAGAAACTCTGTAGGGTCCTCTGATTTGTAAATGATGGGGAATTCATGGATATTTCAGAGGCTTCTTTGGTTCTTGAAAACAAAAATTTCCTGTGTTTTTCACAAAACAGTGCACTAAGGCCAACCTGAGTACAGTCACAGCAGTTGACAGATGTAACTGTGACCCTTGTTTTTGACCCTTGCTATATTCAAACTTGTTTGTTAACCCATTTTCCCTGTCTTCTTTTCTGTGCTCTTCTATGTTTTTTGCACATCGCTTTGCTGCTTGTCTTTTGTGTTTGTTTTTATGTATGAATGCTTGTTTATTGAATTTAGAGAGAAAAGGGAAAGGGAGAAAGAGGAAAAATCATCACTTTGTTTTTCCAATTATTTATGCATTCATTGGTTGCTTCTTGTGTGTGCCTTGACCAGGGATCCAACCCACATTCTTGGCTTATCACATCGATGCACTTGCCCTTCAGTCTCCATCTTTTTGGCATCAGGAACCTTTATAGCACAAGGTGGGATGGGTGGCATGGGAGTGTAGGGGGTTAAAGGGATGGGAACTCGGAGGTGCAGCTCAAGTGAGCTTCTTGCTCACCCACTGTGGAAGGGGCCAGGAGAATATAGCAGGACCCCTTTCCTTTGAGGGGAGCTTCACTTGCAGCCCAGTTCCTAAGAGGCTGTGGAGTGGTATGGGTCTTTGGCTGGGATTGGAGACCACTGCTCTAACCAAAACCTAGTCAAGGCTGATTTTCTATTTTTATAATTATATTTATATTCCCCTCCTCCATGACTGATTATGTTTGTAGATAGCCATCTACTTGTTGTGGAAGAAGGGAGAATTCTCCTATTTCTTACTCACCCATCTCGATGAAGTCACTCACATAGACCTTTTCTCTGTGGTCTCTTGTGCTTGTTGTTCTACCACAATGTTGCCCATCCACCTCTTCAGTTCTTCTCTTTCAATTTATATCATGTGTATTCCAGGTAATGGCTCCACTGGGATTAAAGGGGACATTTCCTTTGTGCATTCCAGAAAAAACACAATTCTCTCCATGCAGAGTGGACACAGAGGCTGTCCTCGTTTAGCGAAGTGCTGTTGGAGAGGGTTTGGCACATGGGTTTTGCTAAAGTCATAACTAGGAACCCATTTTGTTGATTCGTATTTTGTTACCATTGCCAGTTCCTCACCCCATTCTAATTATGCTTGTTTATTGTTGACAAAGTGTCAAAGAATCAGTTCTGAGTTATCATTCCTACTCAGATTTTTAGCCCACAGGTAATCTTCACCTATGTAAACTTTGCTCCTCAACCATTTTTTTAAAGATTGTGTATATTTTTAGAGTGAGGGGAAAGGAGGGACAGTAAGAGTGAGAGAAACATGGAACATGTCAGAGGTACATTTATCGGTAGCCTCTTGTGTGCCTCCAACTGGGGGCCTGATGGACAACACATGCCTGTGTCCTTACTAGCAATAGAACCAGTGACCTTTCAGTTTGCAAGCTCACACTCAATGCATTGAGCCACACCAGGCTTGCCTGCTCTCCCCTGCCCTGCCCCGTAGTAGTAGTAGTAGTAGTAGTAGTAGTAGTAGTAGTCCCTGACTATCTACTTCGTGTTTTATCCTTCCCCATAATGTCAACATATACTTGACTAGTGTTTCCTTTTGTTCAGGTTGCTGCTGTGGAGCAGAGGACGTGGACGAACTGATTGAACAAAACGTTTCTGTACGAGTGGTACAGGCAGAGAATCCCAAGGTGGCTTTGTCTTCCCAGAAGAGCCACCCATGTGAGAGTTGTGGGCCAGTGCTGAGATACATTTTCCACTTGACTGAAGAGCAGGAAACACAACCCAGCCAGAAATCACTGCAGTGTGGGGCATGTGCAAAACGATTTTACTTCAGTACAAAGTGTCACCAGCACCAAGAGCACCATGTGAGAGAGAAGCCTTTGAGAAGAGGTGTGGACAGGCTCCTCCTTGCAGAGGGCTGCAATGTCAGTGTGTCCCAGAAGCTTTTTACCTGTGGGGAGGTTGGACAGGACATCCTTACTGAGTCAAAACATCTCCAACAAGAGGCTACTCGCACCAGGGACAGGCCAAATGGAATCTGGGCATCTAGAGACACTACTCAAGGCAGAGAAAATTATTTCACCCTGAGTGAGTATAAAAAAGCCCTTGGCTGCAACCATGCATATGTTCAAAAGAAGGGTGTCCATATTGGAAGACAGTGTTTTGTGTGTCATGATGGTGGAAAAAATGTCTCCAGAATTTGTAGGTTTTGTTATTGTCAGAGAGTTCCCAGTGGAGAAAAGTCACATCAGTGCAGTGAATGTGGAAAATCTTTTACAAAACTGTCTCAACTACATCGTCATCAGACAGTTCACACTGCAGAAAGGCCTTATCAGTGCCTCATATGTGAGAAGTCTTTTAAAAGAAGAAATAGCCTGTATGTACATGGGAAAATTCACACTGGAGATAAGTCTCATGTGTGTGATCAGTGTGGGAAAATTTTTAATAGACGAGATAATCTCCTTTCTCATCAGAGACTTCACACTGGAAAAAGGCCTTATCAGTGCAGTGAATGTGGGAAATCTTTTTTCCGAAAGACTTCACTTCATTGTCATCAGAGAGTTCACAACGGAGAAGGGCCTTATGAATGCAGTGAGTGTGGGAAATCTTATCAGAGTAAAAGAGGACTTTGCTCTCATAAGAGACTTCACACAGGAAAAAGGCCTCATGAGTGCAGCGAATGTGGGAAATCATTCTTTCAAAAGAGTGCACTTTGTTCTCATCAGAGACTTCATACTGGAGGCAGGACTTATGAATGTAGTGAATGTGGGAAGTCTTTTCAGAGTAAAATTGGCCTTTACTCTCATAAAAGTCTTCACAGTGGCGAAAGGCCCTATGAGTGCAGCAAATGTGGGAAATCTTTCTTCCAAAAGAACGCACTTCATCGTCATGAGAGAGTTCATACTGGAGAAAGGCCTTATGGGTGCAGTGAATGTGGGAAATCTTTCTCCCAAAAGTGTATACTTCGTTTTCATCAGAGACTTCACACTGGAGAAAGGCTGTATGAATGCACTGACTGTGGGAAATCTTTCCTCCGAAAAAGTGGACTTCATTGTCATCAGAATATTCACACAGGAGAAAAGCCTTATGTGTGCAATGAATGTGGGAAATCTTATTACAGTAAAACTGGCCTTCGTCGTCATCAGAGTCTTCACACAGGAGAAAGGCCTTATGTGTGCAGTGAATGTGGGAAATCTTACTACAGTAAAACTGGCCTTGGTCGTCATCAGATTCTTCACACAGGAGAAAGGCCTTATGAGTGCAGTAAATGTGGGAAATCTTACCGCAGTAGCTCAGGCCTACGTTATCATCAGAATTTTCACACAGGAGAGAAGCCTTATGAGTGCAGTAAATGTGGGAAATCTTACCGCAGTAAAATTGGCCTGCGCTATCATGAGAGATTTCACACAGGAGAAAAGCCTTATGAGTGCAGTGAATGTCGGAAATCTTATTGCAATAAAATTAGCCTGCGCCATCATGAGAGATTACACACAGGAGAAAGGCATTATTAGTACAGTGAATGTGCAGAAAGTCTTAGATCTTAAGACATGTACACGATTTTACTTTCATGGTAAAAATAAAAGGGTATTCTGTGAAGCCTTGTTTGAATCCAATCTCAGGAGCATCAGCAGTTAGGAGGTTCAACATAAAAACCTTTCATTTGTGAAGCCTGTGTGTCCATGTTGCACTTTCTTGATTTACCCAGGTGGTTTGCCAAATCCATGTCCATGCATATTTCTGCTGAAGGTATATCCTGTGTACCACCTATAAGGCTCCAAGAGATTCCATGAGTCATCGTGCTTGATGTGGTTAGAAAAGGTAACTGTTCTGTTATTTGTTGGAGAAAATTAGGAGTAGCCTAGGTTTTTAGGTTTCTTTTCCTTGTACTCTCACTACTCGGCGCAGTGATGTGACTCAATGTGGCCCAGAAAACATCATCTGAATTCAGATGTCAGCTTGTAGGAGGACTGCATTTTTGAGGGACATGCTTTTTTTACATAACCAGTGATCATTTTTGAGTGTGTAGATCACCAGTGCAGGAACTTCCAGGCTGATCTCCCTTCGCTTGGTAAAATAACGGAGGACTTTTTTCCCAAGTCTTCTTTAAACTTGGATGCTCTGCTTATTGTGTGTGGTAGTTTATAAAGAGTTTTGGTCCTCACACACATCAAGATGTGAAGAACTTTCATGTGTGTCTCAACTTTCTCTGCTTCTGTGGAGACAGTTTAGTGCAGAAATCCACTCAGTGGTTTTTGCCAGAGTTGCATTCTTGCTCATATTCCCCCCCAGGCAAGACTGGGATTTGTAGTTCTTATGAGAATCTTCAATGCTGTGAGTTTAAGGAGACATGGTCTTCACTGCAAAGAAGGGGTAGGTATGACAACCTCAATATGTCTGGGAACAGCATGATTTTTTTTTTCATATAAAGGGTGGCAGTATTGCAGGGAATCTCTGGCCCAGTCCTTGGAAAGGGCCATGTGCCATAATGTCTGCAGTTCCATGGCGGATGGTCAAGTGGTAGCACCACAGAGGTGAGGGAAATGATTACAAGAGAAACACTGCTGTGACAGGTCCTGGAGGAGTCTGAGGAAACTAGACAGAATGTGTATTTTCTCAGCGTGCATCCAGAAACATTTCTGAGAAAAAGACCGCAGGATCAGTGTGTACACAAATCACAGGAGCTGCAGGAATCTGTTGATTTTGTCATTGTCATTAAATACAATCAAAAGGTTTTATGGCCCTGGCCAGGTTGCCCAGTTGATTAGAACATCATCTTGATATGTGAAGGTTCTGATTTCAATTCTTGGTCAGGACAGGTACAAGAAATAACAAATGAATGCACACGTAAGTGGAACTACAAATCCAAATTTCTTTTTCTCTCTCCCCCTCTCCCTCTCTCTGCCCGCCCCTTTCTCCTTCTCCCTCTCTCCTCTCCATTTCTGTTTCTCTCTAAAACGAATACAAATTTTTAAAGAGTTTGTGAATTTTTGTCACCTCTGAGATATTCATGTTGGAGCCACTAGCGCCCTGGTAGAAAAAAGAATGAAGAAAAAGCGAATCTATGTTCAGGGATGTAGCTATTTTGACCCAACCAGCAATGCTGTTGCTTTCAGTGATGTTTTTACTTTTTGCTTTATTTGCTGTTACTGAGGCAAAGTGTCACACAGAGCACATGAAGAAATGAATTGAATATAGAGTTGCTAAGCCTATTTTCAAAGTGAGTTGCTTGTACAGATTTTAAATATATTGATCTACTTTTAAAATGTTACAATTAGTAAACATATTTCAAGTATAATGGTTGATCAGTCTTCACTTATACATGACATTGAAACCATCACCATTGTCATAGTACTGACCATTACTGTTTCTGGGAATTTACCTTCTGGCCATTTTAATCTCTCCTACCCCTCACTACTCTGGAAGTAAACAATGATTTTTGTTCCATTCTAATAAATAGTTTCTAATTTCTTAATTTTAGATGGTGCAAATACCATTCTGCTATCATATACATTGCATATGTATTTGGAGATTTCTTAATGATATATTAATGGCTCATCTGCTTTTGCTGAGAAATAATTCTGTTTTAAGTATATTTTATTGATTATTCTCTTAACGTCCCATTTCTTGTCCCCTTTCTTTCTCTATACCCTGTACCCCACTCTCACCAGCATTCCCCCTCCCCCTTAGTTCATGTCCATGGGTCATATCATTTCTTTGGCTTCTCCATTTCCTATACCATTCTTAGTGCTGAAACTGGTGCAGCTGGATGGGTCAGGTCGAGAGGGAAGGCCACGGGAGATTAAGAAATAAAGAGATGAGTGGAAGTGGGGTCAGGTGGAGTCCCTTCTCAAGACTTGGGGCAGCAGATGCAGGGCCAGTTCAGTTATTGCTTAGAGTTTTATAAATTTGTTTATTGGTATGATCTGAAATTTTATTTTTAGAAAATGATTTGGAATAGGTCAGAGCTCTTCCATGGATTTGTAAATGTTGAGACTTATTTGTAAACGGGTGAGAACAAAACAGCAGCTGTCTTTAGATGACAAAAAATAAATGACCTGCTTATAGGTCTGATTCCAATGTGATTCTCGGGGATCTCCCTCTTTTGCACACAACACCACATCCCAATCACTTTCTGAACATGGGTGGGCACTGTTAGACTCTTGGAGATTTACATACCCTGTAGAATGTTTGTTACTAATAAAAACGTACACATAGAACCTAGTTACTGCCTCTTTAATTTGAAAATTTTCTCATGTGCTTTAAGCATAGGAAATAGGCCTAATTTGTCCAAAATTCCTCTTTCGTAAGGAGAAAGAATTAATTCTTGAGATATTTCAGGGACCCACTGAAATATCTCCAAGACATTTCTAGGTTAAGAAGGAGTCTTTTATATAAAAAATTTCAATTCCAAGATGCTTGTGAAACTTAATCTACCAAAGGATCATATATTGTTATGAAACAATATTTGATATTCTATTTAGTTAAGGTTATAATGAAATATATGAAACAATACATGCTGGCAAAATTTCAGTTCCTAGGGTAGAGAGAAATAATTTTCTTGAAATTTGACCAAGTATCTGATTACCACACTATGACACCTAAATGTTCTAATAAAACAGAATCTGACCTTTCTAGGCAGATGCAAGAACTTCTTCCCAATTCACATACTGAAAGAGAGCCATGTAAATTCTGTGTTAGCTTACTTTTCATATTTAGATTCATTTACCTAAATTCATTATTAAGGTTATGTGTAAAATTTCCAGATCTCTTCATAAAGCTTCTTTAACTTATTATATAAACCATGTGCCACTTACATAGTCCTTTTGCTTTGTTTCTTCTTAAGTCATCGAGAAATAACCAACTTTAGAAAAATTTGTTCTCTTCAACAAATATTTTCACATTTTGTATCTCTTATTGCCAAACTGTATGTTACTCAGGAATTCCAAACCAGGCAGCTACACTGCTCTTGTGTTTATGATATTCTGAAAAAAACAAAAAAAAACCCAAAAAAAACCACCCAAAGGACCAGCAGAGGTGCCCATGCTGTGGACATGACATTTATTACTCACATTACAGGGAAGCTCACCAATGGTGGCAGATTGTTGCAAGACAGACTGGACCCTGCATGCAGCCTTGCTTCTACTTGTAGGTCTAGGGAGGGAGCAGTGGTAGCCAGAAGGGAGCCACGGTGGTAGCCTGTGAGAATGCTACAGGGTGGTGATAAACACAGGGGCCTTCAGAAGGCTGGGTTCTTGCTCCTTAAGGCTGCTAGCCAGGCAGCCACCTGTTCTGAGTTGAAGGAGCCATATCTTGAGCTACCCTACACACCATGCAAACATTACCCCTCCACCTCACAATCTTTGCATTAGTTATTTTGGAAGAGAAGTCCTTGGGTGGTGAGAGCATTGGTGCATTGAATCTCCCTACTACAAATACAGTACTGGCTATACCTCAAGAGGAGCAGAAGGCAGAGGCTGAGAATGCCAAGGAGGACATGACTTTTGTCTTTCCCTGACCAGACAATGCTCACGATTTTTGACAGAAACCAGGTCCCTGCCTCTTACTGAAGTCTCTCCCTGACTGATGAAAGGGAGACAAGGGAATGGGATCTGAGCCTGGAATGGAGAGGCTGTTAGCTGATTCTCCCGAAGTAGGGATAGGTTGGAATCCCCAAAGCAGCATCACCTTGTTAGGGAATTTTTGTGTCCAACTCAACCATCTGCTAACAGGTTCATTCAGCCAACAATTGAGTCTCACTTCAGGAGGTGGTGATGCAGACAGGCTTCTAAAGTGAGTGCTGTATTGTGTCAACAAAAGCATTGTTTAGGTTGGTAAATATATTTCATAACTTCTAGAAGTTCTGAGTCCTCCATTGTTAAATCATATTTGTAATTTTGAGACATCTTGCTTTTTTTAAAGATTTTATTTATTTTTAGAGAGAGGGGAATGGAGGGAGAAAGAGAGGGAGAGAAGTAGTGTGTGGATGGCTTTCACACACTCCCTACTGGGGACCTGGCCCACAACTCAGGCATGGGCGCTGACTGGGAAGTGAAAAACAATCCCTTGGTTCACAGGCCCACGTTCAATCCACGGAGCTACACCAGTCAGGGCTCACCTAAATTTTTTATCTTAACTGATAAATTGATGTTCAAAATAGCTGAACAATAGAATTCCATTAATGTTTATGTTATGTATTTAGTTCTTTTTTCTGTCAAAGACTTGTGCTGCAGTCTTGTGTTATACTTGTCACATACATATATGATGGTGTAAGTAGGTCATTTTTGTATTTTCAGGACTGTGTAATGGAGGCATACCTTTTGTATTATGACTCCCTGTGTTGAGCAAACAGATAATTTGTTGTAATTAACATGGACTCAAGCCCCTTCACCAGGAAAAGATGACGACTTTCTTTAGCCACGTGCAAGAAGAGTTTTTCATGGGACCTAGCATTTCCTGGCGCCTTTTGCCATGGGTCTTGGTCATTTCTACTGTAGTGTTGTGGGACAACCCCTAGTCGCCGCCTTGGAGTCTCAGGAAACGTTGCGGGGGAAATACCAACGCGCCAACCCAATGGCTGGGGGAGGGGGTCGTAAAAGTCATTTCCGTTGGGACAGTTGCTGGGGCGGGACTTCCGGCGTCCTCCTCACGTGGGCAATTTGCTTCAGGCAGAATTGGCTCAGTTACTTACTCGGGAGGTCCACTTCACTGGGTGCTGTCGGAGATGCCTGGGCGGGGAAGGCGCCAGAATCGCGGTCCACAAAGATCATCCGAGAGAAAAAAGGTGGACGACGCTGCCCGGGGGGCCCGCGCCAGGGCCGAGACAGCGGTCGCCATGACAGAGGCGGCCGCCTCTCCCGCAGCTACCGCCCAGCCTCCAGCTCAGAGTTCGCTGGCGGCCTCCTTGAGACGCCCGGCTGGGGTAAGTGCGCGTCCCCTCACACCCCCACCCACCTCTAGCGCCTCACCACGGCGAACCCTGCATCCCGTGTGTGGACGCCTTGCAGCCCAAGCTTGGCGGGTGGGTCGGAGACGAAGGCTCATCGGAGAGAAGGAGGGTTGTGGTTTCTGAGGACACAGCAAGTACAGTGCAGAGTGGACAGGGCTTATTTGTATCTGAGACTCCCCCGCCGATCTCGGTGAGGATTATTGAAGCAGAGAGCAAAGAGGAGGCAGGGTGGACTTCAGAGCCAATAATTTGGGACTTTATTGGGCTGTGAGATCCAACAGAAAACTGGGGTTGTGCAGGATCCTGCTGGAACATTTCAAGGACTCTTTGGCTGCCGTAAGCCTAGTTCGTGGATGAGTGCGGAGAAATGCCTGTGGTGTGTGCAGCAGGAAGGTGGCAGAACTGAGGGCGTGGACCTGGGGTGTGAAGATGTGCAGGAGGCAGACCTTGCACAATGGTGTGCACACCTAGAGGAAGTGTGTGCTGTAGATCGTGGGCCCTGGTGGGAGGATATGGGGCTGAATCTTAAGCTCATGTTTGCCTGTGCTTTGTAGGCGTGATCTGGGAGACTGTGGCAGGAAGGATGGGAGCCTGTATGTGTCGGTCGCCAGACTGCTGTAGTTGAAAGTGGTAACAGTAATTAATGGGACTAGCGCTGACCTCAGGACCTGATGTCCACACTGAACTGGGCAGCCCTGGACGAAATACAGCGAGGGGAAGATTTGTGAGAAGTAATATCCGGGGGGGGGGGGGGGGGGGTATTCTCAGATAGACAGCTCTTCATTCATTTGTCTCCGTTGTGACAGGTTGGCCTGACCTTTGCGGACATTGCCCTGTACTTCTCCAGGGAAGAATGGAGTCTCCTCAGTGAAGCTCAGAGACGCCTGTACCTGGATGTGATGCTGGAGAACTTTGAACTTATATCTTCACTGGGTAATGCCTTCACTCTGCCAGTGGTGTGGGCCAGGCTTTGCATTTCCCTATGCCCCCTATTTTCTAGGGAGTACTCTCTCCTCATTCGTGGACTATAACCACTGCTTGATTTTTTTCTGAGCAGTTCCTTTTTTTGGTAGGGCTGCTTTGCACCACTCTTCTCCCCCTGCAATACCAGTCCCTGTTGTTCTAAACCCTCAGGGAAAGATTTGTGGTTTGTCATGTTTCGTGGAGACTAATAAATACCAGCTTGATTTGTGACAAAAAAATTTTTTTGTATTCCTTTTGGTTATTTGTATATAAATATTTTGGCGAATTGTCTCTATAATTTTGGCTAATGAGTATTTTGAGTCCCTTGTATATTTATACATTAATTTCTTTCCCCCAACTGGTACACAGCTTTTTTCTCATTTGTTTAATTGTCTCATTTGTTTTAATTCATTTTTCTCATTTGTTTAATTTCTGTTTGCAGATACTGCTTTTAGGGATAAATTATTTTTTTTAAATATTTTAATTATTTTTAAAAAATATTTTATTTATTTTTAGAGAGAGGGAAAGGGGAGGAGAAAGTGTGGGAGAGAAACATGAATGTGTGGTTACCCCTACTGGGGACCCGGCCTGCAACCCAGGCATGCGCCCCGAGTGGGAACCGAACTGGCAACCGTTTGCTTCACAGGCCCATGCTCAATCCACAGAGCTACACTAGCCAGGGCGGGGATAAATTATTTTTAATTAAGTTATGTAGAGGGTTTTCATTTTCTATTTTTTAAAATTAAAGTGTTACTTTGTTAATAGCCTTCATAAATTTATGTGACTTTTTCTGACCTGAACCCACAATATCTCCCAGCCTTATTTTTATATGGTTTGCAAGTTTTTCTGCCATCCTGAGATTGCCTTTTTTCTTTTATTATTATTATTATTACTATTATTAAAATTTTATTATAATGATATTATATTGACTTTTATTTTTAGATAGAGGAGAAGGGAGGAATAAAACCGCGATATGAGAGAGAAACATTGCTCCTTCCCTCTCTCTCCTGCCCCAACTGGGAACTGAACCCACAGTCTACTTGTGTGCCCTGACAAAGAATCTAACAGGCCACTTTTAGCTTTGAGGGACAATGTCCAACCCTCTGAGCTACAATGGTCAGGGCTGCCTTTTCATTTCATTATGTTAAGTGCTGACCTGTGAAGAAGCTTTTTCATTTGTCTTAGTCCAGACTGTTTATCTTTGCTTTTTGCTTGGTGGTATTGTTACATTCAGAATATTATTTCAAAAACAAATCCTCAGCCCTGACTGCAGGGCCTAAGTCCTTCAAACTGGAAGGTCACCTGTTGGAGTCAAGGTCGGGGCCTGAACTGCACTCCGGGTTCCCAGTTGCTTGGGTGTGGGAGGCAGCAGATCAATTTTTCTTTCTCACTTGGTGTTTCTCTCCCTCTCTTTCTCTCTTCCCTTCTTTTGAGAAGAAAAGTAAGTAAAACACTTTTAAAAATAATACAGATTTTAAAAAAAACTAAATCTCTAAAACTTCTTTAGGTTATCTGAAGGAGTTTTAAGTTTTAGGACTAACATTGAATTTTTCATGAAGTTCCAGCTAATTTTTCAAAAAAAAAATTTTATTGATATGCTGTTACAGTTGTCCCATTATCCCCCCTTTATTCCCCTCTGCCCTGTACTCCCCCTCCCAACCACATTTCCCCCCATAGCTCATGTCCATGAGTCATACATGGACATGTCCATACATGTCCATATACGTTCTTTGGCTTCTACATTTCCTATACTATTCTTAAGTTCCCCTTGTCTATTTTGTATCTACCATTTATGCTACTTATTCTCTGTACCTTTTCCTTCTCTCTCCCCTTCCCACTCGCATGTTGATAACCCTCCATGTGATCTCTATTGCCGGGGTTCTGTTCGTGTTCTAGTTGTTTGCTTAGTTTGTTTTTGTTTTTGTTTTGGGTGTGGTTAATAACTATGAGTTCCTTGTCATTTTACTATTTATATTTTTTATCTTTTTTTAGATAAGTCAATATTACACTTCATATTATTATAAGGGCTTGGTGATGATTAACTTCTTTAACTTGACCTTATCAGAGAAGCATTTTATCTGTCTATCCATTCTAAATGAAAGCTTTGCTGGATAGAGTCATCTTGGATATAGGTCCTTGCCTTTCATTACTGGGAATACTTCTTTCTAGTCCCTTCTTGCCTGTAAGGTCACTTTTGAGAAATCAGCTGACAGTCTTATGGGAACTCCTTTGTAGGTAATTGTCTCCTTTTCTCCTGCTGCTTTTAAGATTCTCTCCTTATTTTTAATATCGGGTAATGTAATGATGATGTGGCTTGGTGTGTTCCTCCTTGGGTCTAACTTCTTTAGGACTTTGAGCTTCCTGGACTTCCTGGAAGTCAATTGCCTTTGCCAGATTGGGGAAGTTCTCCTTTATTATTTGTTCAAATAACTTTTCCACTTGTTGCTCTTCTTCTTCTTGTCCTGGTACTCTTGTAATTCAGATGTTGTAATGTTTAGAGATGTCCTGGAGGTTCCGAGCCTTTCTTCATTTTTCCTGGGAGTTGTCTTCGCCCTCCTTACTGGTCTGGATGAGTGTGTCTTCTTTAACTCCTTGGTTGTAGGGCTTCCATACAGTTCAATTTTCTGTCAGTTCTGGTTGTTTTTTGGTTTTTAATCATTGTCCTTCCTTTGGTTGTGCAGGAAGGCACAGTGTGTCTACCTATAACTCCATCTTGGCCAGAAGTTAGAATTCCCCTTCCTCATTTCTTTCTTTACTTTCTGATCCTGACCTGAGGATATTTATATTGATTTTAGAAAGAGAGGGAGAATGGGGTGAAAAGGATAATCATAGATGTGAGAGGAAAATCACTTGGTTGCTTCCTATATATGCTCCAATCTTGGACCCAACCAGCAACCTATTTGTATACTATGACCTGGAATCAAACCCACAACCTTTTGGATGTTTGAGACAATGCTCCAACTGATCGAGCCACCTGGTTACGATTTTTATTTCTTTTTTCTTTGTTTCAATTAAAGATTTTATTTATTTGTTAGAGAAGGGGGAAATAAGAGGGAACGAAAGGGAAAGAAACATCATTGTGCCCTTGCTCCTCACATGGCCCTCACTTGGGGACCTAGCCCTCAATCCAGGCATGTACCCTGACTGGGGATTGAACTGACAACATTTCCATCCGTAGGCTGGTGCTCAGTCCACTGACACACACCCATCAGTGCTTTTATTATTTAAATTTTTCTGTGTGCCTGATGTTTTTCTATTCTCATGTTGGTTTCTTCTTTAAGTTGATTTCTTTTGTATTTTCTGATGGCTCATGGATATTTTTGGAGCAAATATTTTGGATTCCTTATCAGGCTATACATTGAAATCCATGTGTTATTGATTATTGGGAAATTATTTGGTTCTGTTGGTAGTTTCCTTGTTTTTAGTATTTCTTTTAATATATTAATGTCTATGTATTTAATGAAGCAGTGACTCTTTTCAATTTTATGGACTAATTCTGGCTGGAGAGATAGATTCATGTACATGTGAATTTCAAGGTCGGCTGAGTCAGTGTTGTGTCTCAATCTTGAGACAAGTTCCACCAACCTAGATTGCTTGATGGTACATGAGCTGAGGGCAGAATAACAAAAAAATGTACAGGTCATCCATTGCTTCGGCAACATTTCTTTTCAATGACAGTCAAGGGTTTGGAAGTCTTTGGTGACACTGAATTTTTGTTCTTCCTGGACCAGGTTGTGGACAAAGGGATGTGGTTTGGGTTTAGTGCTGAGAAACTCTGTAGGGTCCTCTGATTTGTAAACCATAGGGTGAGTACACAGATGTTTCAGGGGCTTCTCTGGTTCTTTTTTTAAAAATATATTTCATTGATTATGTCATTACAGTTGTCCCATTTCCCCCCCTTCATTCCTCTCCACCCTGCACACCCCCTCCCCCACCATTCCCCCCCTTCGGTTTATGTCCATGTGTAACAAGTTCTTTGGATTCTATATTTCCCATACTATTCTTGACCTGCCCCCTGTCTATTTTCTACCTACCATCTATGCTACTTATTCTCTGTACCTTCTCCCCCATTCTCCTCCTCCAACTCCCCTGTTGCTAACCCTCCATGTGACCTCCATTTCTATGGTTCTGCTCCTGATCTAGCTGTCTTCTTAGTTTGCTTTTTATTTAGGTGTGGTTGTTAATAACTGTGAGTTTGCTGTCCTTTCACTGTTCATCTTTTCTATCTTTTTTTTAGCTAAGTCCCTTTAACATTTCATATAATAAGGGCTTGGTGATGATGAACTCCTTGAACTTGACCTTATCTGAGAAGCACTTTATCTGTCCTTCCATTCTAAATGAAAGCTTTGCTGGATAGAGCAATCTTGGATGTAGGTCTTTGGATTTCATGACTTGGAATACTTCTTTCCAGCCCCTTCTTGCCTGTAAGCTCTCTTTTCAGAAATTAGCTGACAGTCTAATGGGAACTCCTTTGTAAGTGACTGTCCCCTTATCTCTTGCTGCTTCTAGAATTCTCTCCTTCATTTTTATCTTGGCTAATGTAATTGTGGTGTGCCTTGGTGTGTTTCTCCTTGGGTCCAACTTCTTTGGGACTCTTAGAGCTTCCTAGACTTTCTGGAAGTCTATTACCTTTACCAAATTGGGGAAGTTCTCCTTTATTATTTGTTCAAATAAGCTTTCCACTCGTGGCTGTTCCTCTTCCCCTTCTGGTACTTCTATAATTTGGATGTTGGAACATTTAAAGATGTCCTGGAGGTTCCTAAGCCTCTCCTCATTTTTTTTAATTCTTGTTTCTTCCTTCTTTTCTGTTTGGTCATTTTTTTTCTTCCTTCTGGTACACTCCCTTGATTGAGTCCCAGTTTCCTTTCCATCACTCTTGGTTTCCTGTACATTTCACTTCGTTTAGCCTTCATTTGTTCCTCTAATTTGTGACTAAAATCAACCAGTTCTGTGAGCATCCTGATCACCAGTGTTTTGAACTGTGCATCTGATAGGTTGGCTATCTCTTGGTTACTTAGAAGTCTTGGCTCTGGGGCTTTGAGCTGTTTTTCTTGAGCCATAATGTTTTGGTCTATTTGTGCGTGTTACATATGAGGGGCGGAGCCTTAGGTGTTCACCAGGGCGGGGCAACCCAGTGGCTGGATTTTAATGCTGTATGTGGGGGCGGGGTCAGAGAGGGGCAATGGCACTTGTTCCATGCTTTCTCTTGGATTTTGGTCTCCTCTGCTGCTTTCCGCAAGCAAACCACAAGCAAACAGGGCCCCCCTGGTGCCAGATCCTGGGTGTGTGGACTTGTGCACCCTCCTGGACCCTGCGGGTTCTCTCCAACAAACTCTCTGTGAGCCTGGGAGCTTCTCCCTGCACCTCGACCCCAAAAGTTTTTCCAGTTGGTGTTTTTAGGCTTTAATTCCCGTCTCTGGGGCTCTAGCCTGCATGATCTGTCTCACTGCTTGCTCCTTTGCCTGGTTTATCTGCATGCGAATGTGTGACCACGGTCAGCCAGCTGCCTTGCGCCCTCACTGGGTCTGCCTGTTGCCATCCCACATCTGGGATCTTCCAATTGCTGCCTGTGCTCCTGGGTGGGTCCGGCAACTTTTTCCTGCCTGACCCCACTCTGCCAGCTACTGACTCTGCCCCTCTTACTGGTCTGGATGAATGATTCATTGTTGTCAGACTTCCATACAGTTCAATTTTCTGTGTTTTGATTGCGTTTTTGTTACTAAAACTTTGTTGTCTTTAAACTTGGTTGTAAGAGGAGGCACAGTGTTTCCACCTATGCCTCCATCTTGGCCGATAGTCCTCTGGTTCTTGAAAACAAAAATTTCCACTGTTTTTCATGGTACAGTACACCAAGTACAACCTGAGTACAGTCACAGTAGTTGATAGATGTAACTCGGACCCTTGTTTCAGTAGTTGATAGATGTAACTCGGACCCTTGTTTTTGACCCTTGCTATATTACCTTGTTTGGTAACCCATCCTCTCTGTCGTCTTTTCTGTGCTCTTCCATGTTTTTTTGCCCATGCTTTGCCACTTGTCTTTTGTGTGTGTGTTTGTTTATTAATTGATTCTAGAGTGACAAGGGAAAGGAGGAAAGAGGGAAAAACATCACATTGTTGTTCCAATTATTTGTGCATCACCAGTTGCTTCTTGTATGTGCCTTGGCCAAGGATCAAACTCAAAATCTTGGCTTAGCAGGTGGATGCACTAGCCCAGAATCTCCAACCTTTTTTGAACCAGGAACCTGTTTATTGGAAAATGGGGTGGGTGGCATGGGAGTGTGGGTCGTTAAGGGGAGGCGAAATGGGAAGTGTAGCTCAGAGAGCTCTTTGCTCACTCACTTCAAAGGTACAGGGAGGAGACGGGAGGCTGAGCTCAGGGGAGCTTTACTTGCAGCCCAGTTCCTAACAGGCTGTAGAGTGGTATGAGTTTATGCCTGGGGTTGGGGACTACTGCTCTAACCAGCTGAGCTATCTGGTCAAGTCTGATTTTCTATTTATCTTAATTAGATTTATTTTCCCCTCCTCCAGGATTGATTTTTTTCTGGATAGCTGTCTACTTGAGAAGGGAGAATTCTCATATTTTTTCTTCACCCATCTTGCTGAGGTCACTCATACAGATCTTTTCTCTGTGGTCTGTTGAGCTTCGTTGTTCTACCACAATGTTAGCCATCTATCTCTTCAGTTTTTCTCTTTGAATTTATGTCATCTGTATTCCATGTAATGGCTCCACTAGAATTTAAGGGGACGTTTCATTTGTGCCTTCCAGGAGAAACACAACTGTATCCATGCCAGAGTGTACGCAGAGGCTGTAACGGTTTGGTGAAAAACTGTTGGAGAGGGTTTGGCGCGTGGGCTTCGTTAAAGTCATAATGAGAAGCCCATTTTATTCATTAGTATTGCGTTATTATTGCCGGTTTTACATCTCATTCTACTTATGTTCGTTTATCGTTGATAAAGTGTCAAATATTCAGTTCTGAGTTATCATTTCTACTCAGATTTGCAGACCACAGGAAAATCACCTATCTAATCAATCACCTTTGATCCTCAAATCACCTATCTAATCAATCACCTTTGATCCTCAACCATTTCCTTTTGTTTTAAGATTGTATTTATTTTTATTTTTTTAAATGAATTTTATTTTATTTTATTTATTTATCTTTAGAGGGGAAGGGAAGGAGAGAGGGAGAGAAGCATCAATGTATGGTTGCCTCTGGTGAGTCCTCTGCTGGGAATTGGTCTGCAACCCAGGCATGTGCCCCGACTGGGAATTGAACCACAATTGTGTGGTTTGCAGGCCCGTGCTCAGTCCACTGAGCTACACCAGCCGGGGCAAGATTGTATTTATTTTTAGAAAGAGGGAGAAAGAGAGTGAGAGAAACATGTGATGTGTGAGAGGTACATTGATCAGTAGCCTCTTGTGTGCCCCCAACTGGGAGTCTGGCCCACAACCCAGGCATGTGGCCTGACTAGGAATAGAATCAGCGACCTTTTGGTTTGCACTCTGGTGCTCATTCCATTGAGCCACACCAACCAAGGCACAACTATTTCTGTTATAGGTTTTATTTTGTTTTATTTTTTTACTTCACTCTAACTTTGGTCTATGCTTACACACTCTTGGAGTTCACACATATCATTACATTGACCTTGAACATCACAGGCTCTAGTACAACTGATCTAGATGAGGTTGAGCTCATTCAAATTGTTCTACATAGCCTCACCTCACCAGTGGGAAAGATCATACAGGAAGCCGTATGTGAAGAATAGTAGTAGACCCTGACTATCTACTCTTTCTTTCATCCTACACTCATGTCTCTTCCTCAGTGAGGTCACCAACACTGCCATGCTTTTTGGTCAAATAATGTATAACAGCCATTTCTTCAGTGTGTAACTCACATCTCTTGAAAATGACTTTATAGAATCATCCCTACATGTGAGAGCTGGCCATTTATGATGAGGACATTCATTCCTCACAAGGTCAACATATACTTGACCAGTGTTTCCTTTTGTTCAGGTTGCTGCTGTGGAGCAGAGGACGTGGACGAACTGATTGAACAAAACGTTTCTGTAAGAGTGGTACAGGCAGAGAATCCCAAGGTGGCTTTGTCTTCCCAGAAGAGCCACCCCTGTGAGAGTTGTGGACCAGTGCTGAGATACATTTTCCACTTGACTGAAGAGCAGGAAACACAACCCAGCCAGAAATCACTGCAGTGTGGGGCATGTGCAAAACGATTTTACTTCAGTACAAAGTGTCACCAGCACCAAGAGCACCACGTGAGAGAGAAGCCTTTGAGAAGAGGTGTGGACAGGCTCCTCCTTGCAGAGGGCTGCAATGTCAGTGTGTCCCAGAAGCTTTTTACCTGTGGGGAGGTTGGACAGGACATCCTTACTGAGTCAAAACATCTCCAACAAGAGGCTGCTTGCACCAGGGACTGGCCAAATGGAATCTGGCCATCTAGAGACACTACTCAAGGCAGAGAAAATTATTTCACCCTGAGTGAGTGTACAAAAGCCCTTGGCTGCAACCATGCATATATTCAAAAGAAGGGTGTCCATGCTGGAAGACAGTGTTTTGTGTGCCATGACAGTACAAACTATTTCCCAGGAATTTCTAGGTCTTTTTATTGTCAGAGAGTTCCCAGTGGAGAAAAGCCACATCAGTGCAGTGAATGTGGGAAATGTTTTAAAAAATTGGCTCAACTTCGTAGTCATCGGACAGTTCACACTGGAGAAAGGCCCTATCAGTGCGTCATATGTGGGAAATCTTTCAAAACAAGAAGTAACCTTTATTTACATAAGAAAACACACACTGGAGAAAGGGCTTATGAATGTAGTGAATGTGGGAAATCTTTCACCGATAACACTCGCTTCCATTGTCATCTGAGAGTTCACACAGGAGAAAGGCCTTATGTGTGCAGTGTATGTGGGAAATCTTTTACCAGAAGTGATATCCTTCTTTCTCATCGGAGACTACACACGGGAGAAAGGCCTTATCAGTGCAGTGAATGTGGGAAATCTTTTTTCCGACGGAATTCACTTCGCTGTCATCAGAGAGTTCACACTGGAGAAAGGCCTTATCAATGCAGTGAATGTGGGAAATCTTATCGCAGTAAACCTGGTCTTAGCTCTCATCTGAGTTTTCACACAGGAGAAAGGCCTTATGAGTGTAGTGAATGTGGAAAATCCTTCTTCCGAAAGAATGCACTTCATTGTCATCAGAGACTTCACACTGGTGAAAGGTCTTATGAATGTAGTGAATGTGGGAAATCTTTCATCAAAGGTACTCACTTTCATTATCATCAGAGAGTTCACACAGGGGAAAGGCCTTATGCATGCAGGGAATGTGGGAAGTCTTTTACCAGAAGTGATCACCTTCTTTCTCATCAGAGAGTTCACACTGGGGAAACACCTTATGAATGCAGTGAGTGTGGGAAATCTTATCAGAGTAAAACTGGCCTTAGCTCTCATAAGAGTCTTCACACTGGAGAAAAGCCTTATAAGTGCAGCGACTGTGGGAAATCCTTCTGCCGAAAGAATGCACTTCTTTGTCATCAGAGAATTCATACTGGAGAAAGGCCTTATGAGTGTAGTGAATGTGGGAAATCCTTTTTTCAAAAGAGTGCACTGCGTTGTCATCAGAGACTTCACACTGGAGTAAAACCTTATGAATGTAGTGAATGTGGGAAATCTTTCTTCCGAAAGAATGAACTTCGTTGTCATCAGAATATTCACACAGGAGAAAAGCCTTATGTGTGTAATGAATGTGGCAAATCTTACCACAGTAAAACTGGCCTTCGTTGTCATCAGAGTTTTCACACAGGAGAAAGGCCTTATGTGTGCAGTAAATGTGGGAAAACTTACCGAAGTCGTGCTGGCTTACAATATCATCAGAATAGTCACACAGAATAAAAGCCTTATGAGTGCAGTGAATGTGGGAAATCTTATTTCAGTAAAATTAGCCTGTGCCATCATGAGAGATTTTACACAGGAGAAAGGCCTCATTAGTACAGTGAATGTGCTGAAGATCTTAGATATTAGAACATGTACAGGATTTTACTTTCATGGTAAAAATAAATTCTGTGAAGCCTTGTTTGAATCCAATGTCAGGAGCATCAGCAGTTAGGAGGTTCAACATGAAAACCTTTCATTTGTGAAGCCTGTGTGTCCATGTTGCACTTTCTTGATTTACCCAGCTGGTTTGCCAAATCCATGTCCATGCATATTTCTGTTGAAGATACATCCTGTGTACCCCCTATAAGGTTCCAAAAGATTCCATGAGTCACCATTCCTGATGTGATCAGAAAAGGTCACTCTTCTGTTATTAGGGAAAATTAGGAGTAACCTAGCTTTTTAGGTCTTTTTTTTCTTACACTTTCACTACTTGTCACATTGACATGACTCAGTTTTGGCCCAGAAAATGTCATCTGAATTCAGATGTTAGCTTGTAGGAGGACTGCATTTTTGAGGGACATGGTTTTTTTACATAACCAGTGATTATTTCTGAGTGTCCACATCACCAGTGCAGGAACTTCCAGGCTGATCTCCCTTCACTTGGTAAAATAACAGAGGACTTTTTTCCAAGTCTTCTTTAATTTTGGGTGCTCTAGTTATTGTGTATGATAGTTGATAAACAGTTTGTGTCCCCACAAGCATCAAGATATGAAGAACTTTTATGTGTGTCTCAACTTTCTCTGCCTCTGTGGGGACAGTTTGGTGCAGAAATCAACTAAGTGGGTTTTGCCAGACTTGCATTCCTGCTCATGTCCCCCTAGGCAAGACTGTGTGCTTTTTACTTCTTATGAGAAGCCTCAATGCTGTCAGTTACATGAGACATGGACTTCACTACAAAGAAGGGATAGCATATTGAGAACCTCAGTATGTCTGAGAGCAGCATGAATTTTTTTCTTGTGAGGGATGGCAATATTATTGCAGAGGATCCCTGACCCAGGCCTTGCAAAGGGCCATGTGTCATAATGACTGCAATTTCAATGGGGGGTGGTCAAGTGGTAGTACCACAGAGGTGAGGAAAAGTAATTGCCAGAGAAACACTGCTGTGATAAGTGCTGGAGGACACTGAGGCAACTAGACAGAATGTATTTTCTCAGTGTGCATCCAGAAACATTTCTAAGAAGACTGCAGGGTTGGTGTGCACACAGATTGCAGGATCTGCAGGAATATTTATCTCTGTTGATTCAGTCACTGCCATGGAATGTAATCAAAAAGGTTTCGTGGGTTGGCCAGATAACTCGGTTAGAGTATCACCTTGATATATCAGGGTTCTGATTTCATTTCTTGGTCAGGACACAAAGAAGCAACAAATTCACTCATAGTTGAACTACAAATCCAGATTTTCTCTCTCTCCCTCACTTACTCCCTCTCTCTACCTGCCCCTTTCTTCCTTTTCCTTGCCCCTTTCTGTTTCTCTCTAGAATGATTGAAAAATTTTGAAGAAATTGTGTACTTGTGTCACCTCTGAGATGTTCATATCAGAGCCATTGGTGCCCTGGCAGAAAGAAAAATGAAAAAGTGAATCTATGTTCAGTTATGTAGCTATTTTGTCCCAGGTAGCAGTGCTGTTGCTTTCAGTGAGTTTTTCATTTTCTGCTTTATTTGCTGTTACTGAGGCAAAGTGTCACACAGAGCACATGAGAATGTGGGTTTAATATAGGGTTGCTAAACCTAGTTTCAAAATGAGTTGTATGTATCCTTTATTAAAAAATCTTGATCTACTTTTGAAATGTTAATAAAAATCACATTTCAAGTATAATAGTTGATCAGTCTTCACTTATACATGACATTGAAACCATCACCATTGTCACTACCAACCATTACTGTCTCTGGCAATTTACTTCATTGCCATTTTAATCTCTCCCACCCTTCACATCTCTGGAAGTAAACAATGATTTTCATTCCATTCTAATAGATAGCTTGAAATTTCTTCATTTTAGATGATGCAAATAACATTCTGCTATCATATACATTGCATATATATTTAGAGATTTATTAATGATACATTAGTGACTCATCTGTTTTCGCTGAGAATTTTAAATATATTTTACTGATTATTACAGTTGTCCCATTTTTCCCCCTTTATTCCCTTCCACCCTGCACATGCCCTCCCACCTGCATTCCCCACCTTTAGTTCATGTGCATACATCATATATATAAGTTCTTTGGCTTTTCCATTTCCTATACTATTCCTAACCTCCCTCTATCTTCTACCTATAATTTATGCTACTTATTCTCTGTACGCTTTCCTTGTCTCTCACCAACTCCCCTGCTGCTAACTCTCCATGTATTCTCCATTTCTGTGATTCTATTCCTGTTCTAGTTGTCTGCTTGGTTTGTTTTTGTTATTTTGGTTTGGTTGTTAATAATTGAGTTTCTTGTTATTTTACTTCATATTTTTTATCTTAGATAAGTCCCTATAACATTTCATATTATAAGAGCTTGGTGGTGATGAACTCCTTTAACTTGGCCTTATTTGGGAAGCACTTTATCTGCCCTTCCATTCGAAATGATAGCTTTGCTGGATAGAGTAATTTCAGATGTAGGTCCTTGCCTTTCATGACTTGGAATACTTTCCAGCCCTTCTTTCCTGCAGTTTTTTTTTTAAAGATTTTATTTATTTATCTTTAGAGAGGAAGGGAAGGAGAGAAACATCAATGTATGGTTGCCTCTCATGTGTCCCCTGCTGGGAACTGGCCTGCAACTGAGGTACTGAGGTGTGTGCCCTGACTGGGAATCGAACCGCGATCGAGTGGTTCACAGGCCCGTGCTCAATCCACTGAGCTACACCAGCTAGGGCAGTTTCTTTTGAGAAATCAGCTGGTAGCCTTATAAGAACTCCTTTGTAGGTAACTGTCTCATTTTCTCTTGCTGCTTTTGAGATTCTCTCCTTTTTTTTTAACTTGGGTAATGTGATTATGATGTAACTTGATGTGTTCCTCCTTTGTCCAACTTATTTGGGACTCTGTGTGTCGTGTACTTCCTTTAGGTCTATTTCTTTTGCTAGCTTGGGGAAGTTCTTCATTATTTGTTCAAGTAAGTTTTCAGTTTTTTGCTCTTCTTGTTCTAGTACTCCTATGATTTGGATGTCTGGATGTTTAGAGATGTCCTGGAGGTTCCTAAGACTCTCCTCATTTTTTTTGAATTCTTCTTTCTTCATTCTGTTCTGGTTGAATGTTTCTTCTTTCTGATCCACACTGTTGATTTGAGTCTCGGTTTCCTTCCTGTCACTGTTGGCTTCATGTACATTTTCCTTTATTTCACTGAGCATAGCCTTCATTTTTTCATCTAATTTGCAACCAAATTCAACCAGTTCTGAGCATCTTGATTACCAGTGTTTTGAGCTGTGCATGTGATTGGTTGGCTATCTCTTCATTGCTTAATTGTATTTTTTCTTAAGCTTTGATCTGTTCTTTCATCTTGCCCTTTTTTTTTCTTTTTTGTCTCTGAGCTTCTTGTGTAGTAAGGAGTGGAGCCTTATATGTTCAACAGTGACACTGTATATGGGGTAGGGGTTTGAGAGGGAACAATACCGCTTTCTCACTCTCTGCAGGTTTTCAGTCAGTTCCCCTGGTACTCACAACCAAATTTGGCACTTCTGGTGCTAATTCCTGGGTAGGTGGGCTTGTGTACATTCTAGGACTCCATTGGTCTCTCCAGTGGATTCTCCTGAGAGGCTGGGAGTTTCTCCTGCTGCCTCCGTAACCCCAGAAATGTTTTTAATCAAGAGGTTTGAGGTTTATTTCTCTGCACTGAAATTCAGGGTTGTATAGTCTGTGTCACTCCCCAATTGTCCCTCCCTGTCTATCTGTTGTAGACCGGTCTGCCTAGTTTTAGGAATTGTATCTCTATCCCTTGTGGCTAAGAGCGAGGGACAACCTTTGGAATGTGAGCCGCAGGAAACAAAGCTTGTCTCTGGTAGCAAACGCTGCCTCAGTTTTCTCTCCCTGCTCCCAAAGCTTGGTCGAAAGTCAATGACAGGTAAGACCCCTCACAGCGGGGGGCAGCCTAAGCCAGACCTGATCACTTGGGAGGCCTTCATGGAAGGACTGCGGGGGGGCGGTGGGCTGCAACAAAGAGCAATGGACTCTCACCCCCCAGCTTTGACAGCCTGAGTCCATGTCCTCTGGGAGAAGCACTTCCTGGCTCTAATCCCCTTAAGCCTGAATACCTGTTGGGGAGAGGTGCAGCTCCTTGCGTTGGTAGAGCGTGTCCTGGGGAAGAATCTGGTATCACAAAGACTTGCTGATAAACCTGTGAAATTTGCTCCACTAAGAGTGCTTTCATTCATTTGATAAGGGTCCGATAGAAAATGAGCATGTCTACCAAAGTTTCTGCAACTCTCTTCCCGACAAACACTGACTCAGACTCTGAAGCCCTCAGATTTCTTTGAAGTGTTATCTACTGTTTGATCCTTGCCGCCCTGTATTCCTGTGTATTACAACCCAATAAAAGGCTATGGAGGATAGAGCAATCTTGGTTGTAGGTCTTTGGATTTCATGACTTGGAATACCTCTTTCCAGCCCCTTCTTGCCTGTAAGGTCTCTTGAGAAATCTGCTGACAGTCTGATGGGGACTCCTTTGTAGGTGACTGTCCCCTTAGCTCTTGCTGCTTCTAGGATTCTCTCCATTTTAATTTTGGCTAATATAATTATGATGTGCCTTGGTGTGTTCCTTCTTGGGTCCAACTTCTTTGGTACTCTCTGAGCTTCCTGGATTTCCTGAAAGTCTATTTCCTTTGCCAGATTGGGGAAATTCTCCTTTATGATTTGTTCAAATAAGTTTTCCACTGGTGGCTGTGCGTTTCCCCCTTCTGGCACCCCTATAATTCGGATGTTGGAGCGTTTAAAGATGTCCTGGAGGTTCCTAAGACTCTCCTCATTTCTTTGAGGACACAACAA